AAAGCATGTTTAGATAGTGACATCCACCAGTACATCCACCTGGATTTTCGACACAATACTAAAAACCACTGCTTCTAACATTGATGAAATATTCGTAAGCGAACTTTCATACAAGATAGGAGTAACACCTGGCGTGAAATTTAAGAACTATGCACTAGTTTTGTGTGAAAGTTGTGCTTCACAAAAGTGATGCAAACACCTAGGAGTTTAGTATAATAGGACCTCAAAGCAATACATTTAGAAGAAAAAGATGCGGTATTTACCCTCTATATGATAATAATAAACTTTATTTCAGCTAAATGTTTGCCATAGCGATACAAGAACCGAGGTTTACGCGGATTAACTTCAGTATTAATGCGACTACTGTTTCCTGGCAAAGTGTTGCTAAGAAACAACCTTCAAAATAACGAGGGAATTATGTAGAAAACGTTCATGAAACATAGTGTTAAAGTACCCATATCTCTGGAGTTAATAGTGTTAAAGTACCCATATCTCTGGAGTTAATAGTGTTAAAGTACCCATATCTCTGGAGTTAATAGTGTTAAAGTACCCATATCACGGGAGTTAATAGTGTTAAAGGACCCATATCTCTGGAGTTAACAGTGTTAAAGTACCCATATCACTGGAGTTAATAGTGTTAAAGGACCCATATCTCTGGAGTTAATAGTGTTAAAGTACCCATATCACTGGAGTTAATAGTGTTAAAGGACCAAACATGTCTGGAGTTAATAGTGCTAAAGTACCCATATCTCTGGAGTTAATAGTGTTAAAGTACCCATATCTCTGGAGTTAATAGTGTTAAAGTACCCATATCTCTGGAATTAATAGTCCTAAAGTACCAACATCTCTGGAATTAATAGTGCTAAAGTACCAACATCTCTGGAGTTAATAGTGCTAAAATACCAACATCTCTCGAATTGATAGTGCTAAAGTACCAACATCTCTCGAATTGATAGTGCTAAAGCACCAACATATCTGGAATTAACAGTGTTAAAGTACCAACATCTCTCGAATTAATAGTGTTAAAGGACCCATATCTCTGGAGTTAATAGTGTTAAAGTACCCATATCTCTGGAGTTAATAGTGTTAAAGGACCCATATCTCTGGAGTTAATAGTGTTAAAGGACCCATATCACTGGAGTTAATAGTGTTAAAGTACCCATATCTCTGGAGTTAATAGTGTTAAAGGACCCATATCTCTGGGG